CTCAATGGGGTGTTAACATAGAATCCTAGATGTTTAAATATCAGCAATTTTACTGCTGATAGTTGTAGCACAAGCATACAGCTAAAGTGATTATCCCACAAACCAAACTGCCTCCTGTGCCTCCACAGATGCCAAAAGCACCAACTGTTCCCTTCCCAGCTTCCCCTGACAAAATTCTATGATGTAGTTACGCACCTCCAATACAAAAATCTACAGTAAATATGAAGTGTGGGGACAGCATTAAAGAAACTGGATTTAATGTCAAACACCTCAGACACTGCTGTGCAGACTGTGTATTAATCCCCTTAAATTGAAATTTAAGTGAAGCTGCCACAGAATCTAGAGACCTTACTGCAGAATTTAAGTCCATTTTGCCATGAAGTGCACAAGGCCTCAACAACAGTAAACATGAGCTGTAGCTGTTTAAGTTACAGCAATGCCAATTAAATTTGAAATAGGTATAAAACATTTTTCTGTTATTTGTGCTCACGTAATGTAAGCTTGGATTTTACTTACTTCCTCACAGCACTGGCACATTAGTCAATAGGACTCTACTAATAGTCTCAGAATTATGCTCCAATACGCCACTAAAAGGAAACTGAAGTCTATATTAACTAGAACGATAACTGTGAGCTTTTGTGCAGTTATTCCCAGCAAATTCCTTTTATAATAGCATTTTTTTCTGCACACCAGTTTGTTGTGAACACCAACTAGACTCCAAACATTACAATCTACCTCAGAAGCTTTCCAAGGTCAATTAAAATAGAATTTGCAAGTGATGTAGTGGAGCGTGAGAAGCTAGGGTAGCACTCTGAAAATGTTTCGCTGGAACGCTAACCCAAATGAGAAACTATTCAAAAGCCCTAACAACAAAGCAAGGTGGTGACAACCTTTGCAGCTGAAAACAGCCTGAAAGTGCATTTGCTAGAATCTCCTTGGTCAGGGGGTAGACATGAAGAGTCTTAAGACACATTTGGTGTCAGAATATTTGAGCTCCTGTTCACAGGAGTGAGGCTGAGCATGAACTGCCTAGAGAAGCAAAGGCAAGATAGGAAACCAGGGTGGCATGAAGAGCCACAGAGCAGAAGGCAGAAGAAAGTGTATTCAAACCGGCAAAATGAAGCAGAGTATGGGGTTCAGGACAATGTACTCTTGTAACCATTAAGCTCGATAGTGGAAAGTAGTAGCTGATGACATGAACTTCAGGGGTATGCTGAAGTGGTATTATACAGCTGCAGAGAATGGCTTTATCGTGGACAAACCATCAGGGAGCCAAGAACCAGAAAAAAAAAATCAGATTCAATTAAAAAGCCACTTGGGATCTGCTATGGAAAAGAAACGAAACAAAGCATGAACTACCTTGATGCTTAAAGACATTAACTCTAGCTACCCTGCCATGATTTGCTTCAACTCAACTGATTTATCAGAGAAACTGGATTGAGGAATGGACAGGATGGTGAACAGAAGGTAAAGAAAAGACATAAAAGGAGAAGAGAAAGAAGCAGTGCCATGTACACTTCCGATTGAACAACCATCACTTAATTCTCAAAAAAGTAAGAGGCAACATAAGAGGAAGGACTGGAAACACTGGAATAATATATCAAAGGAAGAGGTTGAGAAAAATCTCTTTGGTAGCAGTAGCACTTCTAGTCTTAAGGTGGCACGTCCTGACAGATTCATGACATAAGAACTGGCAAGAACAAGAGCAGACAAAGGCATAACAAAATCCAATGGGCAGATGTTGAAGCTAGTCAGAATCAGACTAGAAACAATTTTTTTTTTTTTTTTTTTTTTTAAGCGAAGGTAATTAACCATTGGAACAACTTACCTATGGTTGTGGTGAATTCTCCATCACTGGACATTTTTAAATCAAGACTGGATTTTTTCTAAAAGATATCTAGTTCAAAAAGGAATCAACCCACGGAAGTCTTATGGCCTGTGTTATGCAGGAGGTCAGACTAGATGCTCACAATGGTTCCTCTTGATCTTATAATTTATCAATCTATGAATAGGGAAAGTAGAAAATATGTAAATCGTCTGACAAAGAGGCGGGGGAATAAGATGGGGAGAGGAGAGAAGTAGGTAGAGAGTGAACAGTTATCTTTCATCTGACTTCTCAAATGCATTCAAGTTGCATCTGCTTTTCAAAAAACACTTGCGGGGGCGGGGGTAGAAATCCTCAGACTTTCTAGATTTGTAATTCAAAACCTAAGCTTGCTAGTTTAGCTTCCCCCCTCATCCACACTCCACCCAAAAAAATCATCTTCTCATCCTGAATCAGCTGCACTACTGTTGGAGTCTGCTTACAGTTTTTCTCTCTCCACCCATCCCAACAAAAAAGCTTTGTCCCATGATCTAACATAAGTTAAGATACAATAGGTTCATACCCTCCTGGTTATTTTTTAATAAACATTAAATATGGAATCTAAATTCATGTACTTTAAAATTATTCACTGCACCACTGATTAGTGACATGGCACTATAATCGCTACCACAGAAAGGACTACTTTTCCAGGCCAAATGGGACTACAGCAGCAGCTTATCAACCTCACCAGGACGATCTCACTGTTGAAGTCTGAAGTAGCATTGACAAGAGACTGCTGTGACAAGCACTGCTTAGGTTAATAAAGATGGCGATATTCTTCTTTCATTCTGAAATACCTTCAAGATCGTTACTGTACTGGAATTTCCCTAATAGAAAATGTCTGAAACAATTTGATGTAATAAAGAAAGCTGGATGCAGGAGAGGTTTCATAACTTTAAATCAATATTAATAAACAATTAGTAGTAATCAAATAATAAAGTTGCTGTATCAACCAAGCTCCAACCTTATCATCTTGACTGTGTACTGCGCTGTAGTGAGATGATAGTGCTCTACTGTTGTGTGCTGTTTTAACAGAATATGAGGGAGGAAAATGAACCTGAAAAACTATTCCATATTTGTAAGGGTATATAATACTCTGAGGATTCCGGTTATTGCTCGTCACTACTAGATTTAGTTGTTGTTTTTTTAGAAGAAGGAGTGGCTCTGCTTTGTCATTCTACAGCCCAAACTACTCATGAAACATGCCATAACAACTGTCCTCCAGACCCCATAGCAATTTACACAAAATGCAGTTTTCCTCCAAGAACTCCTATGGTTTATCCCAAAGGCATTTAGGTCTGTACACATTTGCCTTCCTTCCAAGTAATCGAGTACATGTGTCTCATGATTGCAGCTTATTCCAAGAATCTAAGATGATAGAGGCACTGGCTCCAATTTGTTCTGCACACAGTCCCATCAATCCTATTGACTAGCCATAATACTCATTCTATAATCCCCCTCAAGGCACTAAACAAGGCCATTCTGAGTCTTAATGCAACACACAGCATTTCAGACCAGTAAATCTGATACCTGGTACTTAAAGCACTTTGAAGATTTTACTCTGTTTACCTTGTGATTTTCTATCACTGCTGCAAGACCAGAAACTATATTCTTGCAGAGCTAGCTGTGGAGCAGCCCAAAGACTGAACTAATAGAGACTGAATAGCCTCAGTGGAGGGCAGTCCGTAGAGGCCAGGATTAGGGTTATTAGTAGAGTAGATTGTACTCAGCACTCCCAATGATTGACTCAGCAGATATACATCAGTTACTCATGCTCTGTGTATGGAGGAAGGAGTGGCGCATTATTTAAGAAAATTCTGCCTTGTTTTTCAGAAATATAAAGACCTGAAAAGCAGCTCTGTGTGGCTCAAAAGCTTGTCTCTCTCACCGACAGAAATTGGTCCCATAAAAGATATTACCTTGCCCACCGTGTCTGTCTTGTATTTCAGAAAACCATTAGAATCTTAAAAAAACAACCACCTGATCATTGCCATAATATAGTTGTGGCATATTCATTGCAGAAAATAAGGAAACAGTTGTACTTAATAGGAGAATGGAGGCACAGAATCAAAAGGTAGGAAAAAGCCTCAAGATCCTACTCAAACTATCGGTTATTCCTCAAGCCCCTTGGATGCATGTTCCAAACAGAAGTACAGCATATTTTTATGCATGGGAACCCACCGCCACAAGCAAAGAAAATAGTAAAAGGTCTGTTCACAATGCTTACCAGGATATGTTAATGATCATACTTAAATCTACATATGAAGATTTAATATCAAGAACAAATTATAAACTAATAAACCAAATGAGTCACAGGACCAATTCCAGGATCAATCTGCCATTGATCAAATAGGAAATAAAGTAATTTCTATCTTTGTTAAAGCAGTCCTCATTTTACCATGAACAGGTCAACTACTAGGTAGCCTGGTATGTACAGTGGAAAAGCCTTCAGAGAAAGCATGAATCTTTATAGCCCACTTAATTGCACATCCTCTCATATACATCTTTATGCCCTGAAGTATTTGTATAAAGAGAAACTGCCTAACTGTTTATTTCTTCATAAACAATTTGCCTCTACACTAGCCAGTGGCAGTGAGTGTCATAACTAATTAATGCAATGGATTAAAAACCTATCAGAGTTTTATATTTGATGGCTTTTAATTGTGTGCCTTCTTGTTTTATGGGAAAAGATAACTAGCGATAGGAGCTCCCAATAGGATTTCTCTTCCAGTCAGTATTTATATAAAACTAATTTTCTATTCAAGTGTAATAGTCTCCTAAGCCAAAAGTTTTTAAAACTTAAGTGCCCATAGTTCGGCTCCTAACTAACTGCTTTTCAGAGGAGCTGAACATCTACAGCACCCAGTCAAGTCCCTAACATCTGAAGGTGCTTGGCACCTCTGAAAAGAAGGTTATTCTTACTTAAGATCCTAAATATGAACATAGGACACTATTAGGCACACAATTTGCAATTTTTGGCTCTCGACTTTTATATTCCCTCATATGCAACTTCACCTTCACTTAAAAATGTCCACGAACTTCTCTGAACTTTTTTTTTTTTTTTCTGTTGTTGCAGTGGGGTTTGGAGGGTTTTATTTTTTAGTTAAAGTGACCAAAACTGAATGCTGTATTTAAGCTGAGGACTTCTCATCAATTTATATAATGGCATAATATTTTCCGTATTATTCTCTATCCCCTTCTTAATACAGCCTAACATCAGCAGTGGCCTGAGTATGTTCAGCAGAAGAGGCTCTCCCCCAGGTACCAAAATTCTAGTCAATAAGAGAATATGATTGGTAGAGGTAAAGGCGATTTTAAAGAGGCAAAGTCAGGAACATCTGTGAGGAAATTTTTGAATTATAGAAGTGAGGTGGCTAGACACAGCCTTCCCCAAGGAAGTAGATAAGGGGAAGAACTGTTGTTAACTATTAGCTTTTTATTATTCTTTAGATTGCTATATTGCTTTGCTAAGATGAATTGCAACATCTAATTGCTATCATCACAGATGTACAATATTAAAGTCTGTTTTCCACACAAGTTGCAGTGCTACATCTGCTGGTCTGCCATATTAGCACAGGTATTTGACCCAAATATAAATTTAGGGGGGTAAAATATGACAAATCTGTTTAAATGAGTAGGTAGGGGAAATTTTAAAAGTAGTCTGATGTTTAATTTAGTCTTTTTTAGCTAATCGTTACCACAAAAGCAGTGGTAAATTCCACTCCAAACTCCTAAATCAATCTTCTCTGGATTGCAATGTTTAAGACATCCTTTGTTGGGTGCAGGTTGTATTTGGTCCCCGGCTGATGTATCAGAATCTGTGAACATTAGCTGAAATACAAATATGCAGGTGTTTAATGAATTTTCTCTTTTTAGTTTTCAGAAGATGAGATCAGATATGATAGACAGCAACAACACCAAATCTAGTGCCCCCCTCCTGGATCAAAGGCACTTGAGGATGGTGACTAAAGATGGACACAGCACACTACAGATTGATGGCACCCAAAGGAAAGGTCTGGCATACCTACGAGATGCTTGGGGAATACTAATGGACATGCGCTGGCGATGGATGATGCTAGTCTTTGCTGCTTCTTTTGTCATCCACTGGCTAGTCTTTGCAGTGCTCTGGTACCTCCTGGCTGAGATGAATGGGGACCTGGAGTTGGATCATGATGCCCCACCTGACAACCATACCATTTGTGTTAAGTACGTCACCAGCTTTACAGCTGCTTTCTCCTTCTCCCTGGAGACACAGCTCACTATTGGTTATGGCACCATGTTCCCAAGTGGGGACTGTCCTAGTGCTATCGCCCTGCTTGCCATACAGATGGTCCTGGGGCTCATGTTGGAGGCCTTCATCACAGGTAATCAGGTTTATTTCACAATTTTAAATAGGGTAGGTCCTGTCAACCACATGTAGGGAGTAGATTTGGTAAAATTCTTAATCTCATTAAGAGTGCTTCCAGAGGGGACATAAAAGGAGTAGGGCCAGTTACTAAAACAACAAGACTGAAATTTCAACTTCAAACAGCTTTATAGCTGTCAATTATAATCCAACTCCTTTTAAGCAGTTAAAGGCCTATAAAAAGGAGAGGCACTTGAATAAAAGTATTTCAGGATTTGTACTGGAAACCAGAAAGTGTTGCTTTTTACGGCAGCTCCACTCCTGACATTTCCAACAAGTTATTTTACTCCATCTTCCTTTATCAATTTCTTTCTTCCAACCTTCCGCTGATTTGAGGCTTAAATTGATTTGTTTTGATATAGACTCTCACAGGTTTACCCTAAACTTTAGCGAGTTTGTTTAAAACTGGCTGAATTTTTTTATCCCCCTTCACTTCATTGTTAAGTATCCATGGATAGTCAACACCCAGGAACACTTCAGGATCCCAGTGGTACTTAGTTTAAAGTTACTTAAAATGGCTGAACTATGGAATAATTTTAGACATATATATTATACTGTGCAAAAGGTTAGTGTGCTGTATTTTAAATATAGTTTCAGTAAATGAAAGACCACAATTATATACCATAGCCAGTTCAAGGAGTGGATCTTCATCAATCAAGTGCATCCTCATTCTCCAAATATTACTGTTTTACACATGCTAATAGATTGTGGAAACAAAGTTTATGGAAAAAGCCAAGGCTCTTCAAAAAAAATAAAAATAAAAATAAAAAATAACCTACAGTGGATTTATTTTGATTAATAAATTGAGAATAGAAACTGGTGCCAGCAACTATTAGTATGATGGGAGCTGTGCTATGTGTAGACTAGATCTAATAATTTGAAATCAAGCAGTCTGAGGCTAGTTAACAGTATGTCCATCCCACTAAGCCTCCTCCGTTTCTCATGGGCCATTCCATACAACTTGGGGACAAGTAAGAAACTAACCTGACTATCACGATCATAGTTAATTAATTCTTTCCTGTTATGTAGGTGCTTTTGTGGCAAAGATTGCCCGTCCAAAGAATCGAGCATTCTCCATCCGCTTTACTCATTCTGCAGTAGTGGCACACACAGAGGGCAAGCCATACCTTATGTTCCAGGTGGCCAACACTCGTCCCAGCCCACTCACCAGCGTTCGGGTTTCAGCTATTCTTTACCAAGAACAGGAGAATGGTCAGCTGCATCAAACGAGTGTGGATTTCCACCTGGACAGTATCACGTTTGAGGAGTGTCCATTCTTTATCTTTCCACTGACCTACTACCACTCCATTACCCCATCTAGTCCTCTAGGTGTTCTCCTCCAAGGGGATACCCCTCGCCATTTTGAGCTAGTAGTCTTCCTCTCAGCAATGCAGGAAGGCACAGGGGAAACATGTCAGAGGAGGACATCCTACCTCCCATCTGAGATCATTCTACACCATCGCTTTGCTTCTATGCTGGCCCGAGGTGCCAAAGGGGAATATCAGATCAAGATGGAGAATTTTGACAAGACTATTCCAGAGCTCCCAGCTGCAGCAGACTCTAAGAGTCCAAAGAGGACTGACATGAAGATCCGCATCAATGGACAGCACACTGACAGCTTCCAGATTTCTGAGACTGGTCTGATAGAATAGAATTTGGACGTGGTGCCACTTTTTTTTTTTTTACACATTAAACTTTCAGGTTAAACTTCCAGCCTTCCTTTTCCCCCTATTTTCTTTTGTGCTCTTTCCCCTTTTCTCCTTTCTTTTGATTGCAGTATACTGTGCAGAGTAAAAAAAAAAAAAAAGCATAAAGTGCACATGTAAACTGATGAGAGGCTGTTTTGACTGCACAGAATAGAAAGTCAGGGACAAGTACCACAGTACAAGTTCTGGGAAAGTACTAGTGCTACCTGCTGAATTCACTAGACGATGATTAAAACTGCACTGACCCTGAAGTGCAACTTTCAGACTCCCACAGTTGACCAAATCCTAATTAAATGGTATGTGGGTAGAACACTATGGCAAAATAGGCAGCAACAGTACAATAGAAGACTTCATCTAAAACTAACCTGAGGTTAAATTACACTAGTTTGGGGATCAGCAATGAGGTAGTTATAAGATTGTTATAACCCTTTTACATTAACACTTTCTGGGTACATGGTTACATCAATTTTCAGATGGCTGAACATCCTACTAAAATCATTGCCAGTCTTTTCAGTGGCAGTGAAATGCATTCCAGATGTGCTTGTTTACTACATGAAATCAAGAGTACTGACTGCAGTTCTTCATTCCACCAGGTCAGAAGGGGGTACAATATCTCTGTGACAGGTCTGTGAAGACAGCAAGTGCCAAAAATCCTGAAGTGTATATATGACACAAACATGCTACAGTGGAGATATTTTCATACTTGGAAACATTTAATAAATTATTTCAGCAGTAGAAAACAGACTGTTATACAGCAATTCATGTCTCTTGGCACAGTGAAATTTCATGTGTTCTCAGCTTTGCACATCTTACACTTCGAGTAGTTCTGGCACCACAGGATGCACTATATCTACCAAGAACTGCATCCATTTATATTTTATGCTTTTTAATATAAACATCTATATCTGTACGCACAGCATATAGATAAATCATATCTACAAAATCAGATACATCTGAATTAATTTTAAAATAAAAAAATTGAAACAAGTGCTTTATACATGGGACTTTTTTTTGCCAGGAGAACTTCGTAAGAATACGAAGGACAAGGAACCGTGCTCCTATATGCAACAATTTCTAATATGATCAAATGGGCTAACAATTAAGTGGACTGTCTGCTGTCAAGTCACAGCTTTAAAATGGCTATTCTGTATTCAGACTGAAACAGCCAACAGTTACCATCAAAATAAATGTTGCCATTCAAGGATAATTAAAAGACTTTTCCCTGCAACAAATGTGGCATAACCACTACTAAGCAGTTTAGATAAAACTATGTTTATATACTGGAGCTGATTTTATTATAAAGTGACCAACAGCAGGATATATAGTCTGAAGCCATATTAGGAGGGCACTGTCTATTGGAGGTCTTTTTTTCAAATCCAGAAGTACAGAGGTTGTCAAGCTCTCGTCACGGAGAACCTGGTAGGACAACTGTTTTGTCATAAGGTGCCAGTTGTACCTCATTTCCAGAAGGTAATTTCTATTAAAAAGACAGCTAAAGAGATATTAAAATATTACTTTTCCATGTTAACTATTGTTGTAGTTGTCACAGGAATGTGTTATGTACCACAGGAAGGAGGAGGTCCATGCAATCATGAACTGGAGGGCAGGTGGCCAATCTCTGAATTCAAAAATAGTTCATTGCTCTGAAAATGTTTCCATATTCCTTCCCTACAATGCTATAGGCTTCAAGGGCTGGTTTTATTATTGAGAATGGATACTTTCAATATTATGTCTTTCACTCTCAGTATAATGGAACCATATTTTAACCCACTGTAGTGCCTGTACAGTAATAGCAAACAACATCTTGTATTAATGTACATTAAATTGCCTTTGTCCTCACTTTTCATAGTTGGTACTGCACGTGCACTTTAAAGTTCAGCTGTTTCTCTTCATAACATTATTGACCATACCCCCAAGATATGGAAAGGGGGGAGAGGAGGGAAGGGGGGGGGGGTTGTGCTATATTTATCCTTTTCTATTTTTAAGCCCCAAACCAATATCCTACAGTACAGAGGACAACCCTTAAAAAGCAGCAGCAGAACAAGAAATTGTACTGTAAATACTTCATTAAGCATGGAATAAAGTACAAAAATAGTTCAAATATGAGTACGGAGCTGCTTTACATATACTGACAATTCTCCACTTTAAGTAACATAATCCTGTATAACTCAATTGTTCTGCAGTTCAGGAGTGTAATAATACATCTCAATCTATACTAAGGACATTGAATGGCGAGACCATACCAGAGCTATGGACATATCCCAGGTAACATAAGTATCCTTAGAGTCAGGGTAATTCTGACTATACCGTATTGAGTATTTTGACTTTTACATCTTCTGTTTTAAACCATTCATTATAGCTCTGTTTTTAACTTTTAAAAGCAACAAGGTTAAAAGAGGTAAAAAAAATTTAACATCTTGTATATAATTAAGCTTGTTCTTTTTAATGTTCAAATATTCCTCACATGAAAGGCATAAATAAGCACTAAGATGGAAATCTATTTGCCACATTTAACACTGACTTTCTAAGTGTCTTGTAAATCATAAACATTTGTGATGTGTTAACAGTAAAACATGTATTCGTTGATCACTATTCCTGCTTAGAAACTGATGGACTTGTTTAAGATCAGATGCGCTGTAAAAACTGGACTGGCATTTGCCTTTCCATGTGATTTTTCTAGATGTCAGTGATCTAACATATGACTTGTTTAATTGGCAAATAATCTAAGCCTTTGAGAAGCATCTTTGGGTATTTCTGGCTGAAAGCCATAGGGCCTATGGCAATTTGCATAGTAACTCCTCCAATGTATAGTGCACCTTTGCCTTGAATATCAATACCAACACTGAGGGTTGCTGTTCAGTTTGTGAATTGATTGCATCAGCTGGAAAACTCATTCTGAATACTAAAAAATGTGATCATTATCCCTCCATGAAGTTAGCTGTGTATCAATTAATGATAAAACATTTGAAAATTAATCCTATTTATTGGGGGATTTGTATGGGGTTTCTTAATCTTTTATTTTTTTTAAACTTAAGATATTTTCCTGGGGGTGCCATGATTTCTGAATTACCAAAATATTCTAGAGTGGTTTATTTCCTGCTTTCTAGTTTCTACTTATCTATGATATTTTGACCACCCACAACACAGAGGGACACAAAGACCTGGTGATTCAGTAAATATCTGGTCAGAGAGCACTCAAGGCTTTATTGGAGAACACACTATTATTGGTTGGTTTGGGCAAAGATGATGCTGTTGGTGGAAAGTGCAAAAGTGGGAACCTAAAGCCCCCGTCAGGTTTAGCATGGATAATGGTAACAAGTCACTGCACTCCTTTACTAATGAACTTCATCCCTGAACTTGAGAGAGCATCTCTCGGTGATAAATTTACTTTCATGCCAATTCAGTCCTTCACCTCTTGGCTAAGATTGCTAACAGTGTTAACTGTGTTTTTTGGTGATAGGAATGTGTCTACTAGAAAGTGAAACTAGGACCCTTTTGACCCCAAATCATTTTACATAAGCCACTAAAAAACCATTACATAGCAGTGACTTTTTCCCATTACTGACCAAGGTTGAAATGAAACTAAATCATCATTTTGTGCTGACCAGCCCTTTTTGGTTAGGAGATTAAGGAAGGAAGGAAGTCAAGATTTTCCTTCTCCCAGGCGCACAAATCCTTAGAAGAGTGACAGGCAAATCTAAGTGGATATAGTTAAAACCCTGAGAGTATTTTATATTAAAAATCTGAACAGTTTACAAATATGGCCTTCAGCCATATCACCTCATGCTGTGATCCTGTCTGTTCTCACAAGCTAAACAGGATCAGACTGGGACAGTACCAGAAAGAGATGTGAAAGAAACAGTCAGGTACAGCAGCAAGTTATGCCAATGATCTGGTAGTTGGCATTCTTCCCTTTGAGTAAATACTAAATCAATAACTCAACAATCTGTTGCGGGGAGGAAAAGGGACACTCTTTCAGATGAGATACAAAGCCAAGATCTTGACCATTTGTGGTTACTGAAGATCCCAAGACATGCTTTATAGGAAGAGGAGCATCAACACTGGCATCCTGACAAAATTCCAGCTGGGGTAATTATATCCTGCATACCTAAATTCCTCATGCCATTTCAATTAGAAGAGATCTACTTCTCATCCTAAAGTGACATGTAGTGTCAATCTGCACTGCTAAACTGCTGCTGTGGTTTCATTAATAAATGAAGTGAATTCTGTGCATAGTTTCGTAAAATTGCAAAATGTTTTCACATCCGTCAGGATGAAAAGGTGCTAAAATAAATGTAATTTCATTAAATCAAGTTATTGTTGTAGCCACTAGTGCCTCCAGTCTGCCATTTCTACCCTCATTTGCCTTTGGAAGAATTCTCTGCTCTGTTTAAAGGAGCTAGTTTGGGGTTTTGCTCCTCCACAGATTTCCAAGGAAGGAGCTGCAAAACAGTACAATGGCCACTTTGTAGTTACATACTAGAATATCAAAAATATCAACCATAACCCCTAACTACCACCACAGCAGAAACACTGAAAATTGCTAATCTTTTGACCTTCCCCACTTTTTCAGAGAGATAGTAAATCATGAACACACGGGGAGGCAGAAGAGTTATGAGATGGAAGTATCAAGTTAGATGTAGACAACCTCAAATTAACTCTAATTGGTCATTCTTAGGAGCAATGTCTCCTACAGAAAAAGGAAGTCAGGCAGAGTTAGGGACACCTCTCTTAACTTTGTCGTCTTTTGAGCCAAAACCCTAGGAACTAAAAAATTAAGCAACCTTAAGAAAACACGATAATCAACTCAGATACCTGAAGAGGAGATTCAGAGGGCTTTGAAAATCAGATGGTGATTACAAAACCTTTTTAAGACACCCATCACCATGGTAACTTGGCACCATTGTAAAATTAGCAATACACACCTACTGACCCTAAAGGGGTGA